ATCTGATAAGTGTGTGTGTGTGTGTGTGTGTGTGTGTGTGTGTGTGTGTGTGTGTAAGAGAGAGACGATGGAAGTCCTTAGACATCAGGTCTGCAATGGTGCTCTTTACATATCAATCCCTAGGGACACACACAGAGACAGGGAGTTAGCAAGAAAGAAAATTAGAGAGTAGCGACCAGGGCCGCATTAAGACCTCACTGGGCCCCAGGGCTATGACTTACTGCAGGGCCCCCCATCACAATAATGATATATAGTTTAAGATAGGATTTTTATCCAATCAAAATGTTTGATGCATTGCAATTTCTAAATTCTTGTTACCAATTCTAAAATCACAAAATAACAACAACACGCTTACCGAAGACAAGTAAACAGTCATGAATTACAACAGAACAAAGAAATCGACCTACAACCTACAGCTCACGTAAAGAGCTGAATAAGAAATATTAAATAGACTAGGCTGCAAATAGACTGAATAGTCTTCACTGTATAAATTCAATATACATTCTTATTTATTTGACAAAAGTGATTCGGTCAAGGACAGTGAGTGATTTTCTTTCTGTTTAATTTACATTATTGACACAAATGGCAACAACAGCTATATTAGGCTGCTTTGGAGGAATAGTTCACCAAAAATTAAAGTTATGTTGTTGTTCTAAACCTGAATGAGTTTCATTCTACTGTTGAATGCAAAAGTATATATTTGGAACAATACTGGTAACCAAACAGTTTCTGTGCCCCCATGACTTCCATATGAAAAAAAAACACTACTGGAGTCAACAGGAACCAGAAACTTTCTGGTGGTTACGAATATTCTTCAAAATATCTTCTTTTATGTTGAGGAGAACAAAGAAATTCATACAGGTTCAGAACAACTTGAAACTGAGTAAATGATGACAGTATTTTTGGGTGAATATCCCTTTAAAATCTTATCATATAATGCCAGGATCTCATATAGCCAACTAGTGTACATGCATCTTTAACTATTAACGTTCCTTTAAGACACAAATGACTGTGCTGACGATGAGACGTTTACGATTCGAACGTTTAAACACAAGGCGCGAAAAATAACTTTTAGTTTAGTCAGGCACTGTACGAGCAAGTACGCTCCGCACCAATCAGAAACCGTCTTAACGCGCGCATTTTCCAAAATGAATTCGGCCCCACTGCTTAATGTCCCTGAACAGTTATATTAGTCTTTAAACCACAATGCTTAAAATGCGTTTAAATGAAAAGCTTACATCATGATGCGCAAAAGGAATTTCTCCCATAAGCGAATATAGCCTACTAAGCCTATAGAGTTTGTTCAAACACAAAAAGCAATATACATCCATCAAGATAATAATCAAACTAACCTAAAATCTGTGGGGACGATGACACTGTTTTGAACTGCTCCACATGTCCGGTCCATTTGCTGTTCCACAACTCCCACTCCATCATCAGTTTTAGTAAAATAAACTGTGGATTTTAGTGACTAACTGATGCTTTCCCCTCTCTCACTATTTATTTATTTTTTAAATAGTTGACATTTTTACTTATCGAAGATTGTTCTTTGCATGACCATTTCTAGATTACACCAGAAAGAAGTGAAGAGAGGTGAATAGAGATATTACACGCAGCGATTACCTGATAGGAGATACGTGCACAGGTCGTTCAAAACCAAATTCAAATGTGACGTTTTAATCTCTGATGATATGCATGGAATTTATGGAAAAACTTCACTAAATAATAGTGCTAAAAAGTGAGGAGCGTGGTGGAGCTTTGGCGATCGGCACTACCGATGTCCGTCAATCTACTTCTTGCTCAGGCCCCTGGGCTTCAGCCCTTCCTAGCCCAATGGTTAATGCGGCCTTGGTAGTGACAAGTGGCACTGAATTCAGTAATTGGTTTTCCTAAAGAAACAGTAGACAAGTTGCATTATCTGATTTAATATTTGATGGTAGCATAAATTCAGCATAACAACGTCGTTTGCACTGTGCTCTTGCGTTACTTGATCTTTTTTTTACTTGATCTTGATCTTATACTAAGTCAATCTGTTGAGTTACTTAGTATAGGAAATTATGAGCCGCACTCACGAGAACAATCTTCTTTTTTCTTTTATTTTATGTTCCTTTCAAATGTAGTGAAGTTAAAGTCATAAGTTCCCAGAAAAAATAATACTCAAGTAAAGTACCGATACTCAAAAAGTGTACTTAAGTACCATACTCAAGTAAATGTACTTAGTTACTGTCCGCCTCTGTTCATTACTGATGGGAAAAGACACAAATGTTTCGGCTCAAAGCCTTCCTCAGTGTGTAAAGCAATTCAGTCCCTCCACCCACTTTTCAAATCACATAAATTCAGCAGGCACTGGAAATTTCTGGTAAGCCAAACATTGTTATTCATAATGAGTAGGTGTTCATACTAACAGAAATGGCACAATCATGTTGTGGGGTTGAACTGAATGGCCACAGGTAGATCTTTCATCAACACATCTCCTTGGCTTAGTGAGGCAGAGGCTAAAAGAGACAGAGGCAGAGGGAGAAGATTACTTAGCAGTCTGGGGATGAATTTTGTGAAAATATCACATTAAATGGTAAATTATTTCTTGTAATCAATTGCACTGACACATACTCATTACTAAAAGACAGAGGATAAAACAAAAGGTAGCATAAACAACATAAACATTGAATTTTATTCTTAAAAATATATATTTAAAAATTCGGTAACACTTTATTTCGATAGTCCACTTTAGACATTCTATTAACTGTAAGTAACTTTGCAACTACATGTCAACTAATTCTCATTCATTTGCATCTACATGTCTACTAACTCTCAGAGTAGACTGTTAGGGTAGGGTTAGGGTTAGTAGAATAAGTTGACAAAGAAAGTATTAGAAGATATTAAGCAGACAGTCTACTAATACTCTACTAACTGCTAGTTGACATGTAGTTGCAAAGTTACTTACACTTTATTTCGATAGTCCACTTTAGACATTCTATTAACTGTAAGTAACTTTGCAACTACATGTCAACTAGCAGTTAGTAGAGTATTAGTAGACTGTCTGCTTAATATCTTCTAATACTTTCTTTGTCAACTTATTCTACTAACCCTAACCCTACCCTAACAGTCTACTCTGAGAGTTAGTAGACATGTAGATGCAAATGAATGAGAATTAGTTGCCATGTAGTTGACATGTAGTTACAAAGTTCCTTATAGTTAGTAGAATGACTAAAGTGGACTATCGAAATAAAGTGTAACCAAAAATTCTGTTCAAAATTTTATAAAAATCAAAAGATGTTTAACCATGCTGTATGTCCAGATTTCCCTCAGGCCAAGTGTCCAGCTGAAGAACCTTTAAGTCTGTCATCAGTTTGCTTTCACCTCTATGAGATAAGCTTTCATGTGTACTGACATGAGAGGAAGTTGTTGTAGCTGTCCTGGATTTCATGTTTTCGGCCATGCTGTGAAAGAATTGTCCTGCATTGATCCTCACAATCTTTTGATTATCATGCAGGGGTACATTCTGGAAAGTTTTCTTCATTTCTGCTTGAAGAACAGTTTGCGTGTGGGGGCCAGGTGTTGAAACCATGGACTCAAACACTCGTACCTGTCGAAACAGCAGCTTCTCTGTTTCAGGCAGAGTAGTGTCTCTTTTTTGGAGCATCCTTGAGAAATCACTGAGTTCTGTTAAGGCATCATACATAAATCCCAGATTAAACACAAAGGACACAGAGGTGAGAACATCATGGAGTCCCTTGTATTTTGCTCTTTCTGTAGAATCCCTGGTTACATCACTAGCAGCATTGGAAAAGTGAGTCTGAAGCACTCTGTAATTCTCTATTCTGTTTAGTTCTCTCAAACAGCTTTGACTGTCCTCTTGCTTGAAGCCACTCAGCGAATTGACAAGACACGGCCAATGACAAGAAGACGCTGCCCAACACTCCATGCATAGTGATCCAATTCCCTTTTGTTTTTGGGTGAGACGTGATATAAAGTGTAAAGCTTATCAACGAAACTCTTAAAATGATTAAGTCCACTGACTTCCTTGAGAACATCCCCAACTGCCAATTCTAGACGATGATTTAAACAGTGCCATACAAACAAGTCTGGGAATCTGGCACGAAGCTGTCTAGCAACCCCTGCTTTCCTGCCAAGCATAACTGATGCTCCATCACAAACAAAGGCCAAAAAACCCTTACCCAAAAAGTGGTCATCAAATCCATATTTGTGAAGGCATGACAGCAATGTCTCTGTGATAACATCTGCTGTGGTCCCATCCAACTCCAGCAGGTCAAAAAAATGTAAGTTGCAAGCTGTATCGTGTTCAGCCCTGCGCATGGCTTGCAATTGCCTGTCATTGCAATTGCCTCATTTCATCGTGGGATGCTGCATTTACAATCTCTGTTGCTTTTGAGTGGGATTTTGAATCTCTGTCTTCCTTTAATTTCTTGCGCAGCGATTGTTGCTGTTTAGACTTGTCCGTTCCAAAAGCACTGATTAAACACTCTCTCCACTCATTTGACAGCCTCACTCCCTGCTCTTTCTGGACAGCGAGTGATGGAATGCTACTACATATTTTGCAGTCAAGCATTTGGTCTTTGAAAATTAGCCAGTCATTCTGGGCGCAAAAATACATAATTTGATCCCTTGACCAACAGTCTGGCCACTCATGACGTTATTGTTAAAGGGGTCATATGATGCGATTTCAATTTTTCCTTTCTCTTTGAAGTGTTACAAGCTCTTGGTGCATAAAGAAGTTCTGTAAAGTTGCAAAGACTAAAGTCTCAAATCCAAAGAGATATTCTTTATAAAAGTTAAGAGTCAGCCACACCTACCTAAAACGGCTCGTTCTAATACGCCACCACATGTCTACGTCACGATGTGGAATTGCTATTGACTGTTCAAATGCGGAGTTTTGAGCAGCGCAGAGTAACGCGTCGCATGTGTGTGTGTGAGGGGAACTGGGTCACATCACAGGAGAGTGAACTGTCTGTCAGAAATCATAGCACGTCAGCTGTCTTAACCGCGGCTTGTGTACTGCATCATCACTGTGTCTGTCACGCAACTCTGTTGCCCTTTAGGGCTTGAACTGATGGTAAAACTAACGATATTATTAACTGCCTTGATATTTACTTTGAAAGCTGAAGCTCGCGATTATGGTAAGGGGCGTTACATTTCCAATGCATGCTTGTGGTGTTCGGCCAATCACAATGCACTGGGCCAGCTGGCTAATCAGAGCAGACTGCGCTTGTCAAAGGAGGGGGCTTTGTTGAAAACGATGTGTTTGAGAGAGGCGGGGCATAGAGGACCTACAATAATGTACAGTATTTGAAAAATAATGTGTTTTTTGAACATTAAAGCATGTCAACATATTCTGTTACACCAAATACACAAAATAATGATCTTTAAAATAGCATCATATGACCCCTTTAACATCACCATCTGAGGTAATAGCAGCGGTAACGTTAACTGCAGCTGCCGCGGGTGCTTGTGCTGGTGCTCTAACAGCAGACTGCTCGTTAGAACCACAGGCACTGATTTGCTTACAGACAGTGTTTACTTTATCTGGGTGAAGATCTGATTCACGCGTAATTTTGGTCCCCTTCTGAAGCCAGGCTAACATAGTAATAACTGTCTAATTAGAAAAGAGAACTTCCGATAGACGGCTTGTATTATTCACGTGATTTGTCGAGATGATATGTAAATCAGGTAATTCACTTAGTGCCCCCTCCCTGTAGTGTGATGTCATTACTATTTATCGGATGATGCTTTGACTCAGAGTGGCAAAGTACCGGCAACATGAGAAGTGCCAGTACGCAAGAAAAAGTGAAGGTACGCTAAAGATGAAAATAGCACTGGTGGAAAGTGATGTCTCAGACAAGGTCATGAAGCATTTTTTTTTTCAAACTCTTTCTGTGGCTCCTCTAAATCTGCAAAGACTAGCACTGTCCTTCACTGCAAGAGTCTCTGAGCTTCTTTATAAAAACAAATTGTGAAGACCAGAAGAAAAATGCATTACCATAATGCATCAATAGCACTTTCCTCAAAGGCTCATTTAGTGCTCGTCTCATTATATGCTGTGGGCTTCTCTGGAAATTGAAACAGAACCATGCTTTTCTCACAGTAGGTTGTCATTCCCAGTTATCCCTCTGACATACATTGAGCCCTGGGATTGAATCGGCTGTGTGATACCAGGCGGATGAGGGGCGTCCGGGAGGGGTAACGGCCCTGTAGTGACACCTGAGATGTCAGTCCTCAGCAGTACCCACTGGCTCTTCTCCAGCTGGATGACTGTCCATTCTCCTAAAACAAATCAATCCACGGGCCCACTGCAGATTACAGAGTACTCCATTACACACACTTTCCAGCTCATAGATCAGGGTATGAATTACTGCTCTGAACGCATCACAGATTTTTCAGAGTTGGTATATTTTCTGTTATGTATGCCACTAAACTCTATTGTGGCTTCTTATATGCCTCAGTGCTGTAAGTGAAATACTACTTTTTTATTGTGAAATAAATGAAATATCCAAATATTCATTTTGTTACACAGCCCTCTGAAGAATTCGATTATTATTGGTCAAATTGGTGTCAAATTTATTATTGGTGTTGCTCTGTGATTATTTGCATATGATTGACAGGCAACAAAACTTTCTAAGTAGTTTTCTTCTTACATAATAATAAAAAAGAATCTCGCATTAGTATTTTACATCCATTTTGTTTTACTCATTTGTTGTATGCATGTGACAAAACAGAACTTTTAATAGGAACCAGATTCAGCGCCTGATTAGAAATAGGCTACTAAAACACAGCTTTTTAATGTATGTTATTTTAACTATGTAAATATGACAATTATTGTAATTTAAATCGTCACACATCATATTACATGACCAAAAGCTGTTAGGGTAAACATACATTTTCTCATTCTTTGTTTGCATGCAGGCTAACCAGTTAGCATACCACCATACAATTAGCATGCTAGCTTAGCATACCATTATCTGATAGGCTAGTATTGTTACGCTACGGTGTCTAATAAACATGCACAAAGAAGATGATGAAGGCAGATGGTCTTTATTTAATCCACATGAAGGTAAATCCACAGGTAGGCAGGTGACACATAAACCACAGACGTATACAATACCGGACAAGGGAACACAGGACTAGAACATAAATAGGGAGACACATGAGGATAATTAATGAGACACAGTTGAATCAAATGACAAAATCAAAGGGGAGACAGAAACTAGGTTGGGGGGTTGGGGGTGTGGCCAGATTCGCGGCTTGTCGCAAGAGATTTTTTTTGTCCAAAAAAATCTTCTATTGTGTGGTGTCATTACGATTATTTAACTGCTCCCGATTGTGACGGAGCGTCCCCGAACTCAAATCGTAAGTTTCAAACTATCTTATATATTTACGACTCTTGATCGGGCTGCCTCTGACGTGATACCTGCGATAGCCAATGAAAGTGAGCAAGCGTCACTTACCGGATGTTGTGTGATTCTATAGCTGAAACTTGGCAGCCACAAAAATGGCACAAAAGCAGAATACATCACCCATATTCTTTTTATACTTTGTTTTTCACTGTGAATGCAGAATGCTCGCCAGAATGCGCGCCAGAAGAGTCAGCTGACAACGTCGATTGTCTTCCATTTGTTCTTCTTCTCTAGTCTTGTTTGATCTTGCGAGTCTCCGTGAGATCACGTTGTCACTGTGAAACCGTCCCTACAATCCACAAGTGTGTGGTCTCTCGGTCTGGCCGAATCGTCTAGTGTGCGCATTCAGGGGATTATAACGCTAAAAATCAGTTGAAACTGTCTTCATGTCCGTGGTCTCCCGTGGTTTTAAAATCGTTTAAGATTTGAAAATCGTCTAGTGTGTTGCCAGCTTAAGACAATAATGAGACATGGATTCTGACAAGTATACTCTCTGTAAGTTGCTAAATGTAATCAGCAATACTGTGTAATTAATGTCAGTGTTAGATATGTTTTTATTATTATTATTATTCAAAAGAAATAACACTTTTTTCATTCAAGCAAGGGCGTATTATTGCTATAAAATGCATCATTAGTTAAAAGTGATGGTAAAGACATTAAAAGATTTCTAACAAATGCTGTTCTTTTGAACTTTCTAATTATCAAAGAATCATGAAATTCACACTTTCCACAGAATATTAAGCATCACAACTGTTTTCAACATTGATATGATCAGAAATGTTTCTTGAGCATCAAATCAGTATATTAGAATGATTTATGAAGAATCATGTGACACTGAAGACTGGAGTAATGGCTCCTGAAAATTCAGCTTTGCCATCAGAGAATTTGATTACATTTTAAAATATATTCAAATAAAAACCTTTATTTAAAATTACAATAGTATTTAATAAAAAATTTTGATTAAATAATTGCAGCCTTGGTGAGCCTCTTTCAAAAATTTTTTTTAAATGTTACCAACCACAAACTTGTGAATGGTAGCATAGGCATTACAAAAAAAACTTCAGCAAAAGAACAACATACATATGTCTTTAATGTGATATGTTTTTGAACAGGCATTACAAACAGCTACTTCTTGGGGTTCTATTTGCAGTAATGACTGGTTGACTGTACATATTCACTTATAGATTCATCCAGCCATGGACGCTGAAATCATTCTAGACTGGTTGTGAGCAAACATGTCTTCAAACGCTCTCCCAGAGTCACTTGTAAATAAAACGTTTCAAAAAATCGTAAATAAATAAAGCGTTTCATTCGCATTTTAAAAGTGAAACCTACCCGAAACATTCACTATATTATGTATTTACATTCCAAAATCAAAACAAATGTGAGCTTCTGTATTGTTGTCTACCTGACTTGCATTCTGATCAAGTCATCATAACTATAAATAAATAATTCTAGCTGGCTTTTTAATCATGTTCCTTCCTCAATTTCTAATCATATCTTCATTCACACAGCTGCCCTATCCATATGGAAACATAAAGACGTTGCTTTGATCTGAAAACCTATGTAAACGTGGTGGGTGCCTCACGTGTATATGTTTCATAATGAGTCAAGCGATTGGTTTCAAGCACAGTGACTCTATCGCTCATTTCCTCCGAGCGATATTTCACAGCTTTGCTTCTGACCCATTTTCTACCCATTTCACAACAACTCTGTTTGCTGCACATCTCTCTCTCCTCCTCCTTCCCCTCTCTCGGTTTCTATATCAGAATTCAATGAGCAAACTTATGTTCTTAAAGGCTCTTTCTCAAAAGATGCTACTTACGAGCTTCTCGCTGTCTGTCTCATTCACCACTTTCATATTGTGTTCTCGAGGTAGAAAACTCATGGTCATCTTCGTGAAGGATTTGCATTTCAGTCCTATTTTTCTGATCTGTTTTCCTCCCTCAAAGGCACGGTACTTTGATGTACCTCAAATCTCATTACTACGGGATTACTCTACTGCAGACGGCGATTTCCAGTGCTCTGCGGAGCGTTAGACGAGGTGATAAAGTGTGAAATCCCCAGCGAGCTTGTGCTGAATGAATAGAGAAGAGAAGACAAGAAGAGGGAGAGATACAGAGAAGCAAAGGGTTTAGGCTTAGTGCCATGCTGTGACGCATCCTCTGTCCAGGGTGTTGGGTTTACAGTGTTTAGCGGTAATTAGCATGCCGCAGCATGACATGGCATTACCTCCTGCCATCCACTAGCTAGCTAAGCCCTGAACAAACAGAACCTTGTACAATAAACAAAGTATCTTGTCTAGCCATGTGTGAAGATGGCAACACACAACCACTGACAAGCATCTTTAGCTAAGAGCTGGACTGAGACGACACTGCGGGAACGCTTCAGGGAGCAAATTAATGTAATTAGGGAACACTGGAGGCCATCTGAAGCCTGTCATTGGAGCTTCCACAAACCCACAGCTTCCTTACCAGAGGAAGTCCGGGCTTATGCGAATGATGCTCTTATCCGGAGTGGTCACATAAGGGAAACGTCGCTGTAATGATTTTTGAAACGTTGATTTAGTGACATTCTCGACACAGTTTGGAGGTTTCCATCAAAGCCTCAGGACTCTTTAGATATTATCATGTATTTTATATATCATGCATTCTGGGAAATGTAGCATTCTTCCATGCTGGTTTAATATGATGAAATATACATAAATTACAGTACATTCAAATGTATTTATTTGTCTCTTTATCTTTCTGTCTATGTGTGTCAGGCTTATAGAAGTTTCAAACAAAGCTATCTCACTAACCTTTAAAGTCTGTCTTGACAAACGTGCCTTTTCTAGTTAAAATGATACTTATTTAAGTAATTTCTATTCATTTAAATTCTATCATTTGAATATTTACTGAATTCAGTTTTAAACTGCAGTTCTGCATCCCATTTTTATGACTCCAGAAACTGAATACATAAAAAAATAAATAACATTAAAAATGTAGCTCTTGGTAAAGTAATGGATTCCAGCAAAAATACAGAGTGACATTTTGTGGTGCTGTCAGGAATATGGACTGTCTGTGTGTGTTTTTGCACCCCATGTGCTCCCATTGACCTAGTTTCCCCCTCATGTGTGACATGCCCATATTTGGTTATTTTCCTGTTTTTGTTTCGATTGTTGTGTCTCAGGTGTGTCTCATTAATTCCCTTGTTTAGTTCAGTATTTAAAGTGTGTTCTGCCCCTTGATTCCTGTCCAGTGTTTAACGTCAACTCCATGTGCTACGTGTGTGTTCCTGCCTGTCCTGTGTTCCCCGTGGTTTGGATTAAATAAACTGTTATTATTGTAATTCTCCTACGTTCTCCTCGCTCCAACGCAGTAGCAACCCTGACAGGTGCAGGATAAAAATTAATGTACAAAAAAAGGCAAGAAAACAATATAAATATGTGCAATGAAAAATAGAAATGTACCTACATTAATTTTTTCTTTCACATTTGTCTTTATTTTAGTTTATAAAGGTTTTTAAAATGCACAATGCTATTGGAAGGGGCCTGTAAAACATATACTGTAAAACATATATATTTTAAAAGTTGTAAAGAAAACAGACATTATAGGAGTATGTTTTACATTGTGAAATTTTAAAATAGAAAAATGTAAATAGTATTTTCTTGTAAAACATGGAAACACTTTACAGTAAGGTTCCATTTGTTAACATTAATTAACTACACTAGTTTAAAAAAATAGTAATGGAGTAATGGAGTCGGGCAGGATAAAACTCTGTTTCCTTGAAAATTGTATTGTTTTATAACAAGAGTTGCTTATTGAGTATTAATCAAAGAGAAGTATTAATAAATGTATATGTGTGTATATATGATTTGTGTTAAAAGAAGCTCAAAACATCCACACAATACCTTTTGGAGATGACCTGCAATCCTGGAAAAAAAAAAAACTTGTATAGTCCTTCAAGTGAAGATGACAATATCTGAAGTATAGAGAGTGTCTGTGCAGTGTTCATATGTGTTTGTATTAAAGCACGGAAGTGACAGCACAGTTTGTAAATGCATCACTTTAAGTAAAAGCCTCTCTCCATCCTCATGGTTATTGTCTGTATGTGCGATAAAAGACGTGTGCTTATATACAAACGTGTAGTGCTGATCTCAGGATGTTTGAGAAGCTCCTCATGGACTGTACAAAATGGAAAAAGGTCTCACCTCTCATTTCAGACTTTCTCTAACACATTTATCCTGTTCTCAAACCCATACTTGCGTTTGCACGCGCTCTCCTTTTATACCCGCGCTGCGGGGCGGGGTGAGCGTGGCGAAACACGCACGCCAACTGTCATTGGCTTGTTTAGTTAACACTCGAAGGTGATTGGGCTCTCGGGTGAGATCCCAATTCGTCAGTCACTGACGTAACGTAGAACGTGACTGACTGAATGGGAACAAACATTTACTCTACCGCATTCCCCTCACCAAGATGGCTGTGCTTTTAACAGCCTACATCCAGAGCTAAAACAAGGTGAGGGTCACCTGCTTGTTCATGTTTTTCCAGATGACTGTCTCAATATCTTCACTCGGGACGTACAGTGCCGTAGTAACGGGTGGAAATATCCTTCCCTCTCACTCTATACACTCTTAAAAATAAAGGTGCTTCAAAAGGTTCTTCACAGCGATGCCATAGAAGAACCATTTTTGGTTCCACAAAGAACCATTCAGTCAAAGGTTCTTTAAAGAACCATCTCTTTCTTACCTTTTTATAATCTGAAGAACCTTCTTTCACCACAAAGAACCTATTGTGAAACAGAAAGGTTCTTCAGATATTAAAGGTTCTTTATGGAACCATTTAGACAAAAAGGTTCTTCTATGGCATCGTGAAGCACCTTTATTTTTAAGAGTGTACCTCAAGTAGATGTCAGCATCTTGCTCGATTCTGTTTCTTAATGTTTCTACTATCATCCCTCTTTACTTTTCCAATGTTTTTGGGAACATTAACACTTTCTGAGTTACCATACATACCATACTTTCTGAGGTTCCATACATTGGTCATAAGACTCATAATTAGGGATGTAACGATTAACCGTGAGCCGGTTGAAAATCGATTCAAATATTTGACGATTCAAATCGGTTGAGATGCTAAACAAACTGTGATTCATTTAGGGGTAGAAGTTTATATGAATGTATGTCTGAGGTGAACTTACTGTCTTTAGAAAAGTTTAGATGGTATTTTTTTCTTTTCATCTTGCCTCTGTATAATGCATATTAAAGTTCATAAGTGCAGCGCTGCTTTGTTTACAGCGGAAGGTCCCGGACCTTTGTTTACAGGTCCCGGACCTCCCATAAGCATTAAGGGACCCCCCATAACACCCAAAAAATATACTTGGGGGGGTCCCCTGGTTTTTCAATAAAATTGTAATACTTAAAATTAAGTTTCAATTGCTGTATTAAATTTTGACCTGCTTATGTTACATCATATTTAATTTTTACGTGTTTTTACAGTGTTGCTCATTATAACCAATCACACATGATTCTGTTGAGTTTAGGAATGCAGTAACCAATCAGAGGCGTTCTGATAATTTATCGCTGAAACCCCAGTTTTGTTCAGACTGAAACTCGCAAATTCCATCATCATAAGCAACAAAGCGCAGATGTATGTACGATGTAAGTTAGAGATTAATTTATCATACCGTGTATGCACAGCTTCATTGAATATAAGAGGAATTATGAGTGCTTATTGAACACTAGCTAGACTGAATGCTCATTTAGAGTGTTCTTTCACTGCATGATTCAGTATAATAAAATGCATTTAGAATGCTCCCAAAATTCAAGATATGGAGGCAGAAAATGTATATATTTATATCATTTCATTTAGTTGATCAATATCACACGAAGAGTGCCATTTTTTCCCACAAAAATCACAAATGTGATATTGATTTTATACAACAGTTTAATGAACAAGAAGTTAATATTAAGAGACTTACGTTTTAGACACCATATTGCCTATTTTTTGCTCTATTTCACCAACAAAAATGGTTCCAAACAAAGCCACAGCACTGTTTTACGTCTCTGAAAAACATGACAGTGTTTCGTTCCTGAATGAATCAACCGTTTAAATGATTCGGTTCAATCGCAATGACTCACTTCTTAACAGTGACTTACTGCCACCTGCTGGCGTGACTAAATTCACATTTTAAAGTACATTTTTATATATTTTTTTAATCATTTCAAATATCAGTATTCAACGTTTTAAGATTAAAATATCAAAACATTATTTATGCATTTGTAACTGCAGGTTAAAGCATCCATGCCTTGCATTAAACTGTGTATATGCATCTAAATGCCACTTCAGATGCAGCTTCTGTGTTTCCTCTGCATTGCATGAATTTTGTTGATAATGATTTTATTTGTTGGTAACAGCCCCAAATGACTTATTATTGTAATTGACTATATTGATGACATTATTGAGGGAAAAAAATGGTTTTACAAAGGTAAAAATGCCCATAAAGGGTAAAAATTATTTTAAACTTGCTGGAAAAGATACATTTCTGTCACTGCTGTGAACTGACCACCACGCAGAGTCAGCAGCTGTCTATGGCAGTCCTGCAGAGCAACACACTCAGCAAAATATAAATGATTATCGATCGTTATCGTTAAAATCGCAGAAAATATAGAGATATACTTTTTTGTTAACATCGCACACCCCTAGGCTAGATATTTAATTCTTCTTTGCTTAGTGATTGTTCACTGATCATCATAAAATAATCTTTTATCTTAGAATTAGGTTCTCAATGATAACGAGGACAAGAAAAAAATGCATAATATGTATCTAGAGTTTTATTTTATTTTATTAGTTTTTATTTCATTTTTTATTATTATTGTTGGGGGGGGCTTTGACCAGAAGCTTTGACACAATTCGAACACTGTACAGTATTACTGCTTTGCTGGACAAAGTAGAATTGTGGCATGAAGAAAACAGTAAGTGTGATTGGTGTTTTGGATAGCTCCCTCAGTTTTCAATATTGAAATCTTTCATTCTTCAAAAAATGGATCATAAAATCATGAAGAATGATGCTCCATCACAGGCAGAATCTC